TACATTTTTGCTCATTCATTTAGGTGATGCTATTACCTTATTTCTCATGTACTGAAACCCTATTTATTAAGTTAATTGTTGTTTTTGGACCTCTAGATTTATGGCCTTAGGAATGTGGAGTTGCTCAGCTAGGATTTTCTTTGCCAACTGATATACTCGGCTTGCTTGTTTGTGATTATTTAACACGTTGCACACGTAGAGGCTTCCTTGGCGTCTTTCAGAAACGGCCGTCAGCCTTTGTTACAATAAAGACGAAAGCATTGGCTTGGATCACTCCAGTGATTACTGTATCAACATCTTTGAGTGAAGTTTGTTCTTTTGGTTTACGAGTGTATAAGAACTGCCTGTGCAGGCTTGGCAGCGGATAGAGGGAGGGGGTTTCCAGTGAAGAGGTTGGGAAGCAGAACAAACACTGCCTAAAATAATCTGAAGGAAACTCTGAACGCTAATGTTGCTAGCCACATCTGGGACCCTGTTGCTCATGTTCATTGTATATCATGTATTATTTGTATTATATTTGACATCAAATTTAGATATTAAAACTAAAAACTTTAGAAACATCAACAGTGTGTATATATGTGTGTGTGTAGGTGTGTGTGTGTTCTTGTATAACCCTCTTGTGGGGACCTTGTAATTTCATATACAATAGTCCTCATCTCATCACCGGGCTTTTTATTGATTCAAACTCAGGTTTTAGACAGTGAGGGCCCTCACAAAGTGCATCTGTTATCAGTGCTGAACAGCTTCCCAGATTTTCCTGCCAAACATCCGTTTTCTTGGCAACCGAGACAGGAAATAGGAAGTGTGAGTCACAGGAACTACTTCTAATCATTGTCAAGTCGTTTTTTTTTCTTCAGTTGTTTTCTTGTCTCCAGTATGTCCTCCTGCTGTCTGCGCTGCTGTGGAAACATTTTACTTTCATAGCCAGTCCCACACAGACCAGCTGGTTAGCATGCTGTTAGCAATTAGCGACTAACCAGCTGCCTGCCAGTATGCTAACATAAGCTAAGAAGCTATCCCAGAGGCAGTTATTTCCTTTCTCTAAACTGTGTTCCCAGGAAAGTTCTGAAAGTATCAAAAGTTAAATATTTGCATGAAATGTAACAAGTAAATATTTACAATGTTGCATTTCTTCTTGGTCTTAAAGGAGATAAAGATGAGATTAATATAATTTACTCTTCATCATGAGTGGACATGAATATCTGTAGCTGTTGTTGGGTCAAAATAACAGCCTTATAGAAGTTTGTCACTAATTAGCAGATTCCAAGCAACAAGTTTTTCAATTTCACCAACTGAAAAAACAATCCTCACAGTACAGATTGAAAGCCCCAATTTGTGAAAGTTATTGTGACTGAAAATTTCTCATGAAGCCGTTAAAACCAGAAAATATGACTACTTAGTAATTATTCTATTTTTCTGGGATTTCTTTTCAAAGAAAACTTTTATAAAAACTCTAGAGCAGGGGTCGGGCCACATAACTTTTCCCTTCTCTGCTGGGGGGCCGGAGTCAGTTTGCAACAGAAAAAGTGTGACGATTGCAGGAGTGCCTAAATGTAAAAATGTATTGTTTTTCCGGAAAGCACAATCAAATAACCCTCTCTGGGTTCTTCACAGAATAAATCCAGGAAGAATTATAGTCCGTATTTTCCAAACTATGAGCCGCAACGGCCTATAAGCCACAACCCCAAAGATTTTTTTTAAACTTATATGTGTAAACATACACATATAAGCCGCAGATATCCCTGCTGCTCCAGGGGGGTGGACACCCAACATTTGAGTAATAACAGGTCAATTGAATATCACATTTATTACGGTTGAAAAAGAAAAAGTTGCCAAGTTTATATTTCACTGAACTGATTACGGTAGTTTCCGAACGGTAACTGTAACAGTAAAAGTGCTGATCTTTCGTGTTGCTACTAGCATGTGCTAAATGAAAATGGGCGCTTTCTTCTTCTTCTTCTTTAGATTTCAACAGCAGCTTGCATCCATAATTGTTGCACTACTGCCACCTACTGGATCCTAATATCTATACCTCAAATTCTCATAATGAAAACGAAAAATCTTCTTTTTCCCCTCAGTGCTATTTAACTGATCAACAACATTCTCAAATTTAAATTCCCTATTAAAATCTAATTCCGTTTTAATGGGCGCTTTCTTCTTTTATTTCCAATTTTGACTTCCATTTGATTAACTTCCTGCTAAAGAGCCCCCTGGTGGTTGAAGAAAAATCCACATATAAGCGGCTTATAGTCCGGAAAATACGGTATATGAAAAAAAATCTGAACGCTCTCTAGTATTGTTCAGGGGGCCGGACCAAATGTTTAGACGGGCCAGATCCGGCCCGCGGGCCGTAGTTTGGGGACCACTGCTCTAGAGTTTCCAGTATACTCTAAAATGTTCACAAATGTTTTATTTAGTTCCTGAAGTAACTAGAAGCACAATACATTCATTTGTCCATAGCTTAAAATATACTTTCAAACATCCTTACTTACAATCATGGTAAAAAGAAAGTATTATGGTTTTACATACTATTTAGTGTTTTGGGGTTGTTTTAGCTTATATATCATCATTGCAAAATCAGCTTGTTCAAAATTTTAATAACATAGGACTTTTTTCAGTGCAGTAATTGACAACTAATATATTCTAGATCAGGGGTGCCCAATACGTCGATCGCGATCGACCGGTCGATCAAGGAAAAGTTTTGAGTCGATCTTGGCAGGTGACAAACTGAAGACCACCAGGACGCTGAGACCAGCACTTCCTCTTCTGACGGGCTTATCAAAAATATTCACTAAGATCCTAAACGTTTGTAGCTTCATTAAAAAAGAATGATTATAAAAAAAATCAACGAAACATGTTAAAATTAATAATCTCAGTAATTATTGTTTCAACAAGGTGTTGCGCAATTCAGTGCGTTTCGGTCCCATTAACAGAAAAAGAAAAGAAAAAAAAAAAGCAACTCAAAGACCGACTGAGAGCAGAGCAGGAGTTTAAATTAGCTACTCAAACACCGCTGTGTTCATGAGAGGCTTATTAATAATCGAGACATAAATATCAAGCCTGGAAACCTGACATCGTAACAGACTGAATGTTGTGTTTTTAATGTAATCTTTGCTCGGCTTGTGGTGCGCAGGCGGTTGCCACGGCAACGGGTGTGCTTAAACGAGAGAGAGAGACAGAGAGAGGGGGTAGGAGTGGTTTTGAGTTGATCATCTGTTCAGGTTGTTTTACCTTTGTTTACCTTTGCTGTGGCTCATCACACCTGCTGTAGTTTCTGAACATTCAATAAACAACAAAATTGGACTAATGACCTCGTTTGTGAGTATACGTCACAACAAACATCAAATAGGACAAATATATTTCATTAAGTTTTAACAAATTCTACCGCAATAATTATGTGAAATTAAATTAATTATATCCCGACTTCAGAAGATTTGCCTTTACATTTACTGGGCTCTTTGGTTCCTCCTATCAGTCTGTAGTTTCGCATATTGAGGTCATCAAACCAAAGTTCAGATCTACCATGACTGACTGACACCTCCTGGCCTCAGGTCTGCAACCAGCTTCTGACTGAGAAACCAGTAACCTGCTCCCAGTGTCAGAATCTCACTGAGGAAGAAACTGCGTTAGGTTTTCTGTCACTTTATTATTTCTGCTATAACTGATGAATATTCGCATATAAAATTAGTCAATAGAGTTTAATTTGCAATTTTTATGTCTTTGTGTCATGAGGTAGATCTCAGGTGGCTGGTGAGAGAAAAAGTAGATCTTGCTCTCAAAACGTTTGGGCACCCCTGTTCTAGATGTTATAAATAAGCATTTTTCATGCTAGTATAATATTTAGTCAGTTACAGACATCAGACACAAATGACATTACCCAAAATGCTGAAGGTCATGGAGTGATGTAAGCACAGATTAGGGAGAGGAAATAAGAAAATAGGCAGATATTTCAATGGAACTCATCACAATGTTTTAAAATTTTGTGCAGCCAGAGTTTCAATGTTTAGCAGCTTTTTAATTAATAATGACATTGTGAAATATGTTGCATGTATTTGTACTACTTGGATGTATTTTCTTTTTACCATTCATCCAAGCAAGTTCAAGTTTTCTTTTAAAAATGGGGCAATATATATTGAAGAACAGTTACATGTAAATACATAAGATTATAGCTAGCTACTTAATTTCAATCTCTAGTCTCATTAGCAGGTAAATGTTTAAGCACAATAATGAATAAATTCATGCATTTTATCTACATCGAAACATGAATAATCTAACTTGACAGCCACAAATTATTTCAAATATTCATCCACCTATACAACCTTCCATCTATAAAACTAAAAGTAAATGAAAAAAATGTTTTAATCTGTTCAAGCGTCCATATGTTTTAATGGCAAAGCCAAACCTGTTGTGTATGGATATAATCTTGATCCCTTTAGCAGGTTTTGGTGTAGTTCTGTGGTTATTTGTCTCTTTGAAGCAACCATCCATCTATGTTAATTTGTCTGAATCTCTTGATTGGATTGCCATTGTGTCTCTTTTGTTCTGGATCTTTTCATGTTTTGTATTGTTTATCTTTTGGCAGTTTTGAGTCTTTAGAGACAAATTGTTCCATTTTTAAATCTTCATTCTTTTGTTTCTGTCATACCTCTTTGTTGTGTTTCTTACTGTTCATCTGTCACTGCATGGCCATGTCATCTCTTTATGGGAATTTATAACCTCCCTTTGGTGCTTTAATAATTAAAATTATGTGTATATATACTCTAACATTTCAGTAAAACCCATTGTAAACCTGCACCACTGTAAGATTCCGTAAAGTAGTTCTGCTCAGCTTGAAAACTTGACATTTTAAGTCAGATTTTTAGTAGTTTAACTGACCCTTCATATTCTAACCCTTCAATTCTTCTTCCTCTCCTCCCTTCCTCTATATCCTCTCTTTCCTCTCCATTACTTCCCACCCACATCCTCCTGCTCTTCCTCCCACTCTTCCTCCCTTTCTACAGGATGGGCAGGGCAGCTCTCTGAAAACAATCTGAAACCCTGAGACCTGTTACTTCTCAACTATTATACAGAAGAAAACACTTGAAGGTTACCGAAGCCTTATTCTCCAAGAGGAACAACAACATCCACAGGAACTCCTTCATCTAGTATTAAAGAAGTACTCATGAAATTTTAACTCCATCAACTCAAGATCTCCGACGCCCACACTTAAAACAAAAAGAAGAGGCAATAGAGGCTGGAAAACTGGATCATCAGACTGGACCAGAACCAAACGAAACGCTTGGCAGAATCTGAGACCCACAACAAGCCAGAAGAGATTAGTGAAAATTGGTAAAGTCCTGTGGAAAAGTTTGATGGGACTGCTGACAATAGGTGAGTGGATCTTACATGCTCTGAAGAATCTGTTTATTATTTCTCCTAAAAGACCTAAAAGGATTTTTTTTATTTTAAAAGCTGGTATTAAGTTGGTACAGAAGAAACTTTAAACTGGTGGGTTGAATTTCATACTTTTATCACACTGTTGCATATCTTGCTTCAGTAGAGCAGGAAGACTTGCAGCTTTAAGTAAATTATGCATCAGCAGCATCTCTTTGTTCTTGTGACATCGTAGCACTAAGAGTTGGATCAGAAGCTTTGTCAAGTATTCACCGCTACTGAAAAATTACCACAAGAGCTTCTCAAATGTCACAGCAATGACTGAATAATAAGATTACATAATGTCATGCTACGCAATGCAGACATTCTGTCTGTACTAATGAAGATTAAGCTCACCTCAGCATGCTTTAAATGCCTCAAACCAGCTGCAGTCTAAACTATTTCCACAACAATCCAGCAAATATATAATTGAACTTCCAACTTCAAGTCATTGAGGATGTTTTCACACCTGATAGTCCTGTAGATTCGGTTTGATTGAGGACCAAAATTTAAAAATTTGTTCCATTTTCAGCTGTTGCAGTTCTCTTTCACACTGCATTATATCTAAACTACCAAACTAATTGAACAACCAGTTCCCCTCCTTGCCTGTGGGGGCACTGCAACAACAACCACTGAAGGAAACGACACAAAAACCTCTGAGTGCAACTTCCTTCTTTATGAAATGTAAACAGAAATGGAGTGGCATCACATTTTATTTCTCTTTTGTCTTCAGTAAAAGACCAGGACCCATTTCTTCTGCTAGCGCTAGGCTAGCAAGTTTGTTTTGGTTGTGTTTACCCAGAATACCCTGCGCTGTAGTCCACTTCCTGCTTTTGGAGCGGTCGCCAGTCCGCTTGGCGTTCACATATGAATTTGACTTCAACCGAACTGAAACCGAGGTCTTTAGGTGGACATTAAAAATATGCTTAATATCTTCAGATTTACATCCACAGAAAACACAGACATGGTAGCTACTCACTGTACCACAAATATTTGTTCAGTTGTTTCAGCATGTGTAAAAAAACAAAGTTTGAAATGGAGAAAATCTTGATTGCTATATTTTAATTGTGTCTTATGCTAGAAGTCCAAGAGTCAGCATTAAAAGTACAGAGGCTTTAGAACTGGATTCAGTCTGATTTACCTCCCTTGCAAATAATATGGACCAAGAATTTCCTCCACAGGACCAAATTCAGGGTATCTAGAGGCTCTAAAATGGAAGCTCATCAATTACTGTTTGTTTGTTTGGTTTTTAATTAAGGTTAAATGTGCCCTTCTCGCAAATTGGTAATTAATTGTTTCTGTAGACTCTTCTCTTTGAGCTAGAGCTTCTGTTTTGTTTGTTTTTTGTTTGAATTTAGTTTCTTTTGTTTTATTTAACTTTTTAGTGCTAAATTAAGTCACCATCAAGTCTATTGTGTAGTTGTTTGTCCTTGTAAATAAATGTGGTAGCCTTCAAACATTCCGGCTTATTAAAGCCATAAAATTGCAGCATTAGTCATCTCATCGTAGTTTGGTACGGTGTTACTGACCTTGAAACACCTGAATAGAAAAACCTTTTCAGTGGCATAAAAACAGCAACTATGCCAGAGCTGTATGACTGCATCCTGGGATCGTTTAGGTCATAAATGGCATTGAAATGAACCTATCAGAGTAAAACATGCCTCATAGCTCAGACTACAACAAAACTTTCATCTTCACCAACTTAAAGCAGCTAACTCGCACTGTTTCTGTGGTAAACTGGTTAAATGTTACAGCTACTACCTAATACTCCTGGTAAAGATCAGTAAAATAACTATACAATTATATTTTATATCTGAAAAATCTCACATTGAACATTTAAAAGTAAAAGAAAATCCTCCAAACTGAACTTTTGCATTTATTTAGAGCAGAAAAATGAGCAGTGCTACAAGTATTGGTGTCCTGCTGACAGTAGTGGGAGAAAGCTCTTAGACGTTTCTCAGCATTGGAGCGTACAGAGAGAGATTCCTGTATGCTCCAGATCAGTGGTGTCCGATCTCATTCCTCTGCGGTGTTTGTCATGTTTTGATGTTCACCTGCTTCAGCCCCCCTTATCAAATAATTGATGCATTAGCAGGCCTCCAGAGAGCTTAATGAGATGCTGAGGAGATAATTCACCCGTTTGAAAGCTCTGTTACAGCAGGCATGCAGATGGAATATGTTTGGGTTCTGGTTTTGTTTGTCATGTTCCTGTTTTAAACTTAATTATTGCTGCTGTAGCTGTAATTATGGCGAGCTTTAGTGCCAGTAACTATGATCTTCTAGCCATTTATTGTCTGAGGAATATTGATCAAGATTGGCAAGTTCTGTTATGTTTTCCATATTTTAAGAAGCAAATAAAAATGTATTTCATCTATTTATGTCTTAGTGAAATAGGAGGTTCTGGAGTACAAATGTTAAAGGTTAGTCTTTGAAATATGTTTCTGGAGTAAAATATTTTTTTTGTTTGTTTTTCCACATCTTTGCTACAGCTACCAAAAGTTAAACGTATAAACTTTTATCAGTGACGCTTAGTTCACATACCAGTTTTCCCCCTTCAACAATCTTAACGACACCCCGATTATTATGATGCTCTAAAACAATGTTGAAGGGGACGTATTAGACAGAATTCACATTTTGTATGTTGTACCTCTGTTATTGCAGATTTTTGACAATAAATTGATGTTTTTTAGTGTCGTGAGAATTGAGCCATTTCAAAAACCTTTTGAATTTAATGTTTCAAATCGGCAGGCGCTTCCCTGTTGCCTGGCAACCCCAGCAAAGCTCAGTCCATTACTTAGCAACCCCAGCTGAGCTCCAGCACGTTTAGTCAGCTGGTTTTATCACTGTGTGTACTGTACAATGGCTGCTGGAAAAGACGAAGTGTTTTGTTGTCGACTTACCATCCAGAAACTACTTGCTACATTCTTGTTGTTTCTTCAGAAGGCTCCACTTCTGCTTTTCAAAGATGTATGGTTGTATAATTACACATCAGTTTGCAACTATTTTCAAGTCTGAGTGTAAATGTTGAGTTGGTGGGCGTGGGCAGCAGCAAATTATTGGATTTAAAGTGACAGGAGGCCCTAAAACAACTCATTCTACAGTGAGCAGAATAAAATCTCATTATTTAAGAACTGTCTTATGGAGAAAATGTGATGGACATGTTTTGTACAGACCATAGACTTTTCCTAACCTTTTCAAGGAAGCATATTAGGTCAAAAATTGGGAATATTCCACATGTTGAATTGTCTTCACCCGATAAGGTTTCTTTAATGCCAGGCAGACTCTTCTGGAAAATGTAGCTGCAGCTCACAGACTGAAGGGGTTTGTCTCGTTCACTCGGAGCCTGTAAAACCCATCATTTGCATTTGAGGATGTGAAGCCGTTTCTTTTTTATTTTTTTATTCTGATTGCTTAACGTGTGAAACTGCCAGACTGTGATGATTGTCAGCTGGAAACACAGACTCTCTTCACACTGAAGAGGAACATTTTGTCTCTCTGAATTATACAAGAGCAACGTGGAGGGACATTTCTTCTCACATTTATTCTTGGCAGAAATCCTTACACTTCTTAGAGGAAATGTCTTTACAAGGGTTCGCTTACTGTACAGAAACAGTCAGCCCTCCCAGTCATGTTTTATGACCCTGTGAAAGCAGATGGTGGTGGATTTCTCTTTTATCAAACACCAACGTCTTGTTGAATTGTGTGCAAAGAATGATCAAAGACAAGTGACGCTTATTTAGTTCTGGGTTTGGAAAGCTTGAACTTACTGGAACTTATTTATAACACGTTTTATTAGGTTGCTTATGAATTAAGGGTTTTTCCACGCCTGAAATCTCTGAAGAAGATATGAGCAGCCATTTTTAAAAAATGGTTGTAATGGAGAATATCTGTTTGCATTAAAATAAGCAGTAGATATTATTAGTGATGGACACAGATAACTAAAATGTTACCTTACCTAACCAATAAAATGCTAAACAAAAAATTTGCAGAAGCTAATGCTAACCATTAAGACCACTGCTTATCCTGTAAGATGATACATAATATTAAAGTTGTATGGATATGATGACCAAAAACAAAAATACATGATGTGACATTAAGTTAATCAAATTTGTTAAAATGGGTAAAATTTTATGCTAATTTCTTTTAAGGGCTCAAAAACGGCAGCCATTTGGAAAAAATGCTAACTTTTAAGCTTGTTTCTCCATTTGAAAGATTAACCGATTTTGTTCTCGTTTTCTCTGGTGGTCATTTATAAAACTGGTCGCTATGGTTGTAATGGAGAATATCTGTTTGCACTAAAATAAACAGTACATATGACTAGTGGTTGGCACAGCTAACCAAATAGTTATGTTCACTCACCAATAATCTGTTAAACAAGAATCTGAACGCTTAGCTAAACACATAAAAAGAATATTAGCTAATGCTAACTGTTGAGATGATTATTGCTCAGTCTGTAAAATGCTTGTTACTTTAAAGATGTCTGAATATGATGATCAAAGTTAAAAAGATATGATGACATAACATGAAAAGTTGTGAAAGTAGCCTTGTATGTCCATAGTTGCTTTAAAAGGCAGCCATTTTGAAAACTAGTAGTAACTTTTATGCTTGTTTCCACATTTGGAGGATTCCTCTGGCTGATATGCACAATTTTAAGACAAATTTGTTATTTTGGCAGCAGGATGGACAGGAACTTGAGGTTTGAATTATTATAAAACAAAAGGAAGTGATCTGCTATCATATTTTTGACTTTTATTCCTCCAAACTGTGTGACAGACAGTTGAAACATCCCCCCAGCTCCGCGGAGCCACATCCAGCTGTAGAGCGTAGCTGCTGCATTGTTCAGGCTGTGTGGGAGGACAGCGGCTCTGCCCAGGACAAAAGCTGGAAATGATCAATGGCGACCCCGAGTTATTTAAGGACCAAGCCTCCCGCTGATCTAATCCACAAAGAATTTCACC